TCAGAATTAACATTTAATTATACTAAATATATTTGTGCTTCAATGTACAAATGGAAGATGATTAATTTACTTGAACTTAGATTAAATAAATAGTTGTAATTGTTTAATTAGCATAGAGTTATATAATGCATGACCGATAATAATTATTAGTTCTGACGCAACTTAAATATAACAAACAATAGCTAAAGGTAGATCATTAATTACTAAAAACCATTGATAATATTGATTTACACTAGGTTGTTTTCGTAGTTAAATTAATAATTAACACATCGTAGTGTAATAAGCCGACGGCTCTTGAGTCGGTTCGTTAACTAGGAAGGTAGTTGAGTCTGGTGTTGATTTACTCGTCTTAACAAATAGAATTTAATAATAATTATGGCTACATCGAGGCGTAGTTTGTTTACGTGATATTACCTAAAACATTGTTCATCAAACCACATGTACAAAGGATCGAGAATTTTCGATGACGAAGTCGAGTTTTATTGCCGTACATATGGTCCGTGTGAAAAGCAATAAAACTCGAAAATAGAATCTCAACGGTCGCTCGGCGCATGAATAATACGTTTGAACTGTATGTTATAACTACTTACAAGTAAAAAGAAAGAAATGAGTAATATTTCGAGTTGAATATTATTTTTGAATAATTCGACAAGCCGTCATATAATCGACTTGTCGACAAACGTTCGCGATCAGACCATACGGCTAGCGGGTTGCATTTGCGCAGGCTGACTCTGATAGTCGGCGCGCGAGATAGCCGGGTTGCCGTAGTGAAGGCTGACTCGGTAGTCGGCGCGCGAGAGTCTGGAAGGCTGCTTTACTGCAGGCTCGATTCACGGGACGTTACAATGCATAACCAGTAAAAATGAAATAAATGTTTCAATTGTACCGATATGGACTAAAAAATGACCCAATAATTCATTCGAACGCAACTTAATCATAATCTTGATAAATAACTCAGAGCACATTAAACAAGAGTATGTGAAGTAATCGGGATTCTCATTACAAATTAGAGTATCAACGAATCAGAGTCATGATTCGAAAAGTTAGCTCACGTAGGTTGGATTTGTAATGATATTTTGCTAGTTCCAAATAGAGAGATGCGCTGTAAGTGGGTAATCAGGTGAAAGCAAGTACCGAATACCACACATGAACTCGAAGTACAGAATTGAAATGGTTCTCGAATAATAATCCACAGCTCGTTTATACGTACATGCTACATTTACACCCCAGCGCACAGATGCGATTCCGGTTAGATAAAATTAAAATGAACGCGAAACGTAATACAGCTTTCGCGCATACACTTGTTATTGCGCCAAGCCGCAAAACCATACCGAGCACAAAAATTTTTCTTTTTTTTTTACTTATATTTTTTGTAACCTATGGAATAAGTCACTTGGTAAATTTAGAATAAATAACTTGAATTAAGTTGACCAAAGTAACGTTAAAAAAATTTAAATTGTTCATTAATATTTAACTGAAAGGAAGCCGGTCTTGCTTGACTTAACGTCGACTTGTACTACTTACATAAACAATTTCAATCTTCTGATTGTATATAAATCTTTACTTCGATCTAAATATTCATTGTGTGCAATTAAAATACTAAAAAGCTGAGAACCCATAAAACATATCGCAAATGGTTTTTATTTTAAGTAAAAGCATTTTTAGCGCCGGAGCTGTTGGCGAGTAAAAACTTTTTAAATTTTACTTATTAACACCGCCCACCCGTAAACAATAACTGAATCCAATTTGTCTTTTTAAACATGTACGCACATTAGCACAATAGAGTAAAAAGGTAATCTTTCTTCCTTCTTTTTTTTTTATTATTATTGTCCTCGACAAGAGATGCAAGTGCGTCCAGTAAAAAAAGTAAAGTAGCTAGTTCTCTCATTGTTTAATGTAAATGCAGTCAGGAATTCGCGTGGCATGAAAATTACCAGTTTTTAAAAGTAATTTTAGGGTAATAAAAGTACAAAGTTCCGCTGCAGCGTTGATATAACTCAGTGGGTCACACAAAGCAGTCCACCAGCGTCGAGATACAAAAATTATGTTCGAAGCCTGCATTCTCTCACCCTTGGCTTCCTCGTCGCTATCCCGTGGGGTATCTTGGACACTTTTCGTTGCTCCACGTGCGCAAGAGGCTCGTTATTTCCAATAAAGCCGAGAGCTGCGTGGGCTATATATACTTTTTCGCGACTACGCGCGCACGCATACCTGCAGCAGTAGCAGCAGTAGACGAATGAAACCATTTTCTCATTTCAGCCAGCGGCTTTTCCACTTATTTTCTCTCTTCTCTTTTTTGTACGTCGGCGTTTGTGTATGTATAGGAGAGCATTTTTTTGTGAAGCGTGCAGTAAAATGTCCTGAGCCAATAAAGAAACAGGAGCTTTTTTGAGCCCATGCAATGCTTGTGCTCAGAAATGTACTTCGCTTTTATTTTAATTGTACTTTGAACGAAAATTTCAAAGAAATTTTTCGCATTCTCAAGCAGAACGATGAAGATGATTATAGTAAATGCAAAAAATGAAATGACAGTTAAAAATATGTTTTCAAATGATATTTAGATTAATCGATACTGCTTAAAAACTAACAAAATTTCTATTCGTGATTATTCAAATTTCAAATCTGCTTATAACAGTTGTTATTATAGCCACGAGTACAAAATTATCATTTAGAACCTGTTAAAACAGGCCATCGATAACTACACGTAATTATGATTTTTAAGCTAAAGTGTTATACGATGTTGAAATTTAGCCAAACCCGTGAATTATCGTCTTGGAACAATATATGTCAAATATGTTCTATGCGTAGCAATATTCTTGGCAATTAGCCCAAGAAAGATTGATTTTAAAAAACGTAACTATTTGACAGATAAAATATCGGATTATCTAATAAATCAGACATTTATACGATTTCGTAATTTATTCATCGATTATCCCAATTTGACAATTTCAAGCATATCAAAAAAATTATATAAATTTATTTGAAAATAAAAATGATGAATAATTGCATGAATCTTCGCTCGATGAGGAATACAGAAATGGGAGAATGACGCATCACTAAATAACAAATAATAATTTCAAGCTCGAACTGTGAATAGGAACTTTAGATATCAGAGTTTCGAATCCTCACGCGTCATTCATACCGCAACATATGAGCCGATAAACGACGATTATTTATTCGTTTTTATTATTTAACGCGAGTGAAAAAAGGAGTGAGAGAGAGATCAGCAGATTTCTCCCCTGACCCTCTAACACGCGATGGTGATTGTCCGAGTTGATATACACACGCACGCATCGTGTATATACGTTACACATAGAAACAGGGGAAAACATTAGTACGTGCATACGACTGTCACATACAGTTTGATCGATCGCTCGCCCGGGGAGTTGGCATATACAACAACCCGCGGCAGAAGGTGTACCCGTGGGAGCGAGAGAGCGATTCCAAAGCTGGCACTGCACATACGTACCAACGTATACGATCAACGCACATGCACGATAACGTTAATGCCAACACTGTGCCGGCAAGCCCATGCAAATATATGTAGGTATATACGTACGTATATAGGCGTGTGTGTGCACGAATACGAGTACACGTGTGCGAGAGAAAAATGTTTCGATACGTTTACTGGGGCGTTTGCTTTGGAGCGAGGAATCGTCCGCAGTATTACTGTAGCAGTTCTCTCTCGCGCGCGCGCCTGGCCAAGTACTTTGCAACAGAAAAATAGTATAGCGTGGACCAGACAGAGAGCTAGAGATAGTTTAGAGAGGCAAGAGAAAGAAAAGAAAGAAAAAGCTGCAGAGAGAGAGAGAGAGAGAGAGAGAGAGAGAAAGAAAGAGTGTGCGAGATTTAACGTTTCGCTGGAGTTGTGCAGTTCAAGCTTCGCGAACAATCGTCCAATTTTTTACTCGACTTGAGGCACGCTGCTGTCGCTGCATGCGCTTTCCTCTCCCGCGCTTGCCTTTTACCTCTCGACCGTGCTCTTCAGGTCGGCATGTGAAACGCATAAAAATATCGTTCGCTAATTCGTTTTCCCTCTTTTCGGTAATACTAGACGCGCCGACCGTGTACACAACGCGGGTATATAGCTTTTTTAATGAAGGATCCTGGCTCTTAGTAAGTATTTGCCCTCAAATCACAACGCTAGTGCTTATAATATGTATATCGCGAATTTCATGCGTGCTGGCAAAAATATGAATTTTCGGATTGAATTAATCTGAGCTTGCCGTATATGAAATATACATTTATATGTGTAATATGATTTTCAACCGTTATGAATATCATTTTAAACACTGCTTCTACATATTTATTTAAGATGAAGTTTTTTTTCATTCATCAAAGCCAATGTTTATTCACCAGCCCAAATATTTTGATATAAAGTATCAAATGACAACGATATTGCATGCACAATTTTGTGCAGCTGGGACAAAAGCAACAAGTAAATGAATCTTAGGAGATATATTTCATTGTTAAATTTTGCTCTTCATTGTGTAATAATATTATAACGAGTAGAAGCAACAAATTATAAACGTTAAATAAATCCAGCCATGAAAGTAATAAATTAACAATTTATATATTTCGTTTATCTTTAGCTTGACAGCGTTTAAAAAGCAATAGAAAACGAAATAGTACAAAAAGCTCGACTGGCCGGCGAAATTTCGTTTGCAATCCGTTTTGCGACGCGCTCTTATATTAAATAGCTTCTTTCGAAGATTGGAAACAATAATTTCCCTTGGGAATATCAAAAGAGCCCCGCTTCTGTGTGGAATGCGCTCTGTAGAATTTGATGATACTAAAACGAATCAAATGCGTTCGTACAAAAGTTTCTACGCATAGCTCGCACTTGACGATATTTTATTTGAATGTTTCTTACGAACCCAATCGACAAATTAGAAATTTAGCTTCAAATTTCATAAAGCAGACACTAAATTTATAAAAATTTTATGATACAATTTTTACTTTAATTGTAACATAAATAATATAAAAATAATTGTTTTCAGATTGCTTGGCTACAAGTGAATACTCAAACTATTTTAACGATAGCGAATCACGTGATCACGAAAAATCATCGAATAGGCGTCACGCACAGCGATCATCGCACATGGTATCTACACATAAAGGATGTCCGAGAATCCGATGCTGGAGATTACATGTGTCAGATAAATACAGATCCTATGAAAAGTCAAATTGTTTACTTACAAGTTGTTGGTGAGCAAACTTGGGGCATTTTTCTCAAAAATTATTTCGATAAGTCGGGAGCTACCGACTTTTACCCTTTTTTATTTTTTATAATTGTATCCCTCGTGGATTTTTTTCCTCATTTTACAGTTCCACCTGATATACTGGATTATCCTACGAGTACAGATATGGTTGTACGAGAAGGCAGTAACGTGACGTTGAAATGTGCGGCGACTGGCTCGCCGACCCCTAACATAACGTGGAGGCGCGAGGGCAGTGAACTAATAACTCTCGCCAATGACCAAGGAGGTGAGAATTTTATTTTGTTCCGCCGCGCGAATGAGATATTTATGTTGATGCGATCGTTAAAATTGAAAAATATCGTCGTTTTTGATAAAATTTACATCTCAATAGAACTTTAATGCATTTTTGTGCCTTGAAAACCCAATTAAAAAGTTAATTATTATCAAGTAAAAACTTGCAGTAAATTGTCTTTAGAACAGCATCGTAATCGTGTATAATCTCTACTCTGGTCATTAATAATACTTGCACAGCAAATCGATACTATCTGCAAGAAAGCGGTCGAGTTTAGCGCACCTTCGTTGAGTAAGGTGTGAACGTAATATTCGAATGGGGTTTTACCCCATTTCCCACCTTAACTAATGTATCGAAGTCTTTGCAGTATAAATTAAGCGTTAGCAAAAACTTACGTGTATTAATTGTGGAAACAGAATCTCGCGCCTAGATCGTGTACGTTGGGTTCACGAGATTAATTGGAATAATGTAACAAAACAAAAACATAATTAATTATGATTTTCAGTGACGCATGTGGAAGGTCCAATGTTGAACATAACGAGGGTCAATCGACTACACATGGGACCATATTTGTGTATTGCGTCCAATGGTGTACCACCAACCGTCAGTAAAAGAATTATGCTTATCGTTCACTGTAAGCTTGAAATTATTTTTACATGTACTGAAATTAAGAAACGATAGTAATTAAAGATTTTTCTAACTGGTTAGTTCCACCTATGATAATGGTTCAAGATCAATTAGTGGGTGCTCAAGAGGGACAAGAATTAACCATGGAATGTATGTCAGAGGCATATCCAAAATCGATCAACTATTGGACTCGAGAAAACGACGATGAAATCATAGCCAACAGTAAGTACTTAAATGTTACTAATTTCTGACTATTTTTGCCCCTGTCTAGAGTAAGCTGGATAATGAAGAGTATTAAATAGAGATGTATGCATACGCAACACATAGCATATCGGAGGTTTAAAATGGATAATGATCCGTAAACTAGAATAGTTTCGGGCGGCCTCTCTTGCATGTGACATCACCGCGAGAGACGCGCAGATGCGCTCACAAGCAAGAAAATACGAATTCCCTAATCGCTCGGTTAATTAGGATAATCTCTTATCTCAGAGACAGCGCACACGCACACACATATATAGTCGCCTTATCGTACGAGCGGGTTAGCTGCGCTAGCAGTAGCGGCGGCATAAGAAAAGAGCAAGAGCGGATTCTCGTATCTATACGTATACGTATATATATTCGCGAGTTCACGCGCGCAGCGAGAGATCTTTTCTCGTGTGATTGATGGTGTGTTACTGTCGCATAAATCACGACCTAATGGCTAATTAAGTAATCGGTGGTAATTTTGCCGTTCCGAAGCCAAATGTTTCTTCCTCTGTGTTTTACGGCTATATATAGTAATGAAAACGACAGTCAGTTGATAACTTGATGCACCAATGAATGTGCACACGCTTCGATGTTAATTTTCATTATTCTTTGAGCCACCAATGTCCCTCGCTATTGTTGAATTCGATTAGTGTCCCGCATCGTAAAACGAAATCAATATCAGGGCGAATTTACGAAGCTGATTGGATCATTAAATAGTGACTCTACAAAAACAAACGCGTTCTCATAACTTTTGTACCCATGCTTCGAACTTAATTAGTTTTGTAAAGTAAACAGTCGTGTCGTGTACGTTACGCTCTGTATTATAACCGAAAAGCAATAGGAAAATCGTTTATCAAATCAATTAATGGATGTCAGTTAAAATGTTTGTTCAAAATTATGAAGAGCACCAATGTACCCGGGGAGCTGCTTTGAAATACAAGCTCCTGTCAAATTTGATCGGTATCATTTTGCAACTTGGTATTACGTACATCACTCTTAATACGAGGGACGCATTGTTAGCAGCCAAGGGCAGAATGAAATATGTCAGTGTATCCTATATTCTATGAGCTTGATTTGTAATAATTCGCATTACGATTGACAATTCCGAGAGTACCACTCATTTTAACAAATAAATAACTTGTCACACATTTGAACTTTATTTTGATAACGAATCAAAATATACTCTATGTCTATACGGTTACCAATAATCAATACTAAAGGATTATCAGCTGTTAATGAATTATTTCCTAAAAACTATTTACTTAATTATTACTAGGTGCTCAATTAGCTTACATATTATAAGTGCGATGTATGCAAAAAACATTAACACAAAAGAAAAATATATCTTTGAGCTCATACCAATACATTATACATAATAGTATTACATACATGATATTAGAAATGAAGTTCAATTAGTCATTAAAACGGAAGATTGTAGAAAAAACTACGGCAGCTGTGTTAATAATTTTCTCTCTACCTCAACTTTCCTCTATATTCGTTGGTCGCGGTTTCAGGGATTCACTCCTCTATTCAACGCGAGGAAAAGAAGTTACACTTCAAAAAATTGTAGAAACCCAAACAATCGCCTTATTCGATATGATTCACCGCATGTACGCAAACACGTGGATTGACCAATGAAATACGCGTCTATCTACGATAGAAAAATGAATATAGAATTTGCAGAGGCGATAGCGCGGCAGGAAGAGCATAGCAAGCTAGGGGCAATGCAGCTCGTGGTTCAGCGCGTCGTTAAACTTTTTTATCTGCTTTTCAAACTCGAAGCCGATGAAAGTTTCCCTTCGATGCGAGAGCGAGAGCGCTCAGCCCGGACTAGCAAAAACGTCTTTGGGCATCAGACGTGTTTGCTGAAACCACTCTATAAATGCATTCAAGCCTCGGTACCGGTATAAAAAGTTTCCAGCATCGCGCGCTTTCCACACCTTTGTTGTTATGATACTTTTCATTTTCAACGCATTCCGGCTTAGCCGCAGGTTTTAACCTGGTGTCTCGCTTTACATGCACGTATTTGCACGCTGTTATGGATAATTTTTTACTTCTATCCTTTTTTCTATATAAATTTTCAATGATTGCTCAATATTTGTCTAACTAAAGATATTTTGATGTTTTTTTTTTCATTTTTAGGTGAAAAATACGATCCTGTTCTTATTAATAATGTCTATAAAGTTCAAATGAAATTAACCATTCGTTCGGTCAGCAAATCAGACTATGGAGCTTACAAATGTATAGCCAATAATTCTCTAGGGAGTACCGATGGCAGTATCAAGCTCTATCGTACGTATATTCAATACTTGATATAAACACGAGTGACTTCAACTTGATCGATTAAATTAAAATTTTCCATAAAAAATAATGTATATCATATCAGACATACCAACCCCTTCAACAACGCCAACAACAACGACGACAACAATTGCAACAACTATTAGGACAACATCTACCCCACCTATACCATATAGAAGTAATATTTTTCATTTTTCAGTCTCTGACTTGATCGTATCATATTCTCATTAATAATCAATTTTCTATTATCAACAGCTGAAAGAAAACAAAGAACAAGGCAAAAAATAATGTCAACTGCAGCTCCACGCATTAACGACTTGGCCGTATTTTCTAAAGCTACAATAAATAAAGAAGGTAATAAAATAGAAAATGATATCATGCAAGATACCTTATATTTCTTTGAAATTTATTTTACAACACAGAGTCACGTCAGCACAAAGGAAAGAATAATGAAGATTTCAACTCTGGTGCAAAAATTAATTCGAATAACGGAAAGAAGAATTCTAATAGCAAGAACAGTAATCATGAAAGATTAGAAGTTCAAAGAGATAAGACAGCTCAATCAAGATCTTCTATACCTGCATCTCATGCATCTGTTTCGAGTCTCGAGTATTCAAAGAAAAACTTGTTTGTTGTTGTTTTGTGTTTGTTAATAGTCATCACGGAGAAGCTTACTCAAACGTAGTGAAACAAGCGAAACTGAGTGGAATGAACTTTTTGTTAAGCCCTGGCATTGTGGGGAAAATTATTGCGTAGAGTAAAAACTCATTCGTTAATTTGCTTCGGAACTTGAGAAAGCTCCATAAGCCCATTGAGAAATGAAAATAATAACAGTTGAAAGTGAAAATCTAACATAAATTGTAATATAGCATGCATTTGAGTGTATGAATGAAAGTTATTACATTGTAAATAAGTGTTTTAATGATATAATACACGTTAAATTTCTATACGCCATGAATTAAATTTTTTAATTAAATAAAAAAAATATTAATTTAAAAATAAATACACACTTGTCAAAAATCAAACACGAGTCTTACTCTGATCTTACAATTGAAAATTGCATATCGGAAGTACTATTTAAATTACCAGAGCAAATAAAGTTTGAAAAGGAATTTTGAAGTATGTTTTATATACATTTTATACTGTTGGTTAATATTCAATAAATTCAGTAGGTGCTAAAGAATCTGTTTTTGTCGAAAAATTATTAAATTTTGTATACGTAAACTTATAAAATCTACTGTGATGGAAAGTTCATTATAATTTTATAAAGTATACGATCAAAATAAAATAAAGTCCTGAGAAACAATAATAACAACACATTTCCTTTATATACAAATCAACTCAACTTTGTAGAAGTATTCATAATAAACCCTGAGATACCTTACACGTTTAAATTTTTGAACTATTACTATGAAATATATTTTACTTTAATTAATAAAAATTCAAATTAATATCACATAGTTTAATTCGCAATACTTTATACTAAAAGGTTTGTGAAATAATTTGAGTTTATCACAGTTAAGGCAATTTAAAATGTAAAATAAATTTTACCGAGCTAAGCGATTTTTGATAATTGTAAATATGAAACCTAAGACATAAGTAATATGAAATATTATGATTTATCAATTAAAAATGTATTATCGTTGGCCATCAATAGTTCATATTGAAAAATCTAAGCAACAATTTCAGTACAATGTGAAATTATTGATATTAAAACGACCTATTTATTCCCATTCGTTAAATAGTGAATTGGTATATTTTTGTACAAACCACAGAAAATCTTTAGAAACTTTTTTGATTTATTTGATATTTGAATTATTTTACTTAATTTTATTAACCTGATTTGTAAATACTTTTAAACGTAAACTATGTAAAATGTTTTTCATGTAAAAATATGGTATGTGTAAATAAAAAAACTATAATCCTATCAATTTGTGTAACTTTGCTAGTATCATAAAAAATAATATCGAATAGAAACTTTACTACGTCAACAGTTAATAATTTTCTATCTAAGACTTAAACGAAAGAGTAATGAACAATTAAAAATGCAATAAAAGCTTCAAAAATGTTTGAAAAAAATAAATATTTAACTTCTGGTTATTTAGTTTTGTATTAAATTAAACATCATATGCGAAGATAATTTTTGTGAGATTCGTTATTTCCCACACATCATATCGGCATACACAAAAAACTGGCTTTTACTAAATTTGACGAACAACAATCGTTGTTTTTAAGCCCCATAAATAACCTTGCAAACAATCAAGTTTATGGAACCATTAAATAATGGTGTTAGTGGTTTATGGGGTTGATTATAAAAATTGCGGTACACAATAAAACGATAAAACAAATAAAAAAAATGTAAAAAGCATTAAAATTAGGCAAACCGACATATAATAGAAATGAAATGAACAAAAATTATGAGTACATACGAAAAGAATCAAACAAAACATGAACTAATACAGCGCCAAACAGTAACCACGCGTATTATGCTCTGCGGCAGTAGCGAACAAGCAATTTCTGGACACTTTAGAACGCTGTCCAATGATAGCACGAAAATACTTTACCTAGGTTTTTCTTGGTCTACTCCCCACTGATCTAATGAACTGGAAAAAATTTCGAAAAACAAATTTCATGATACATTTTCAGCTATTACTGCATTTATATTAATATTATACGATCTATTTTATTTTTATTCGTGAAAATTAAATTGATAGTCAGTTTTCATTGAAATATCATCCATGGTCAACTATCGTAAAGTACATATGGCCGATTCTCTGTGAAGCCGAATGGTCAAAAAAATTTGTTTGGCCATTCGACTTCACAAAGAATCGGCCATATATTAAAAAAAGTTTAGTCATAGCATTATTTTACTATGGTTAAAAAATATTTATGTTAATGTTACGTGATATAAATCATGAAAAAATAATTAAGAAATAGTTATTTATATAACAAGTGCCCAAAAGGCGTTTTTGGGCACGAGTGTGCGGAAAAAGACACGAGTGCCGGCCATGCCGGCACGAGTGGGTGTTTTTTCCGCACACTGTGCGCAAAAAGCTGGGCACGTGTTGAATACAAAATTTTATGCAATAAGAGACGAAAAATACTTTCATTTAAATGAAGCGTTTTACCGTACACCCGTGTCCAAAATGAGGCATTTTACCGCACACAAGTGTCCAAAAACGCTTTTTGCGCACTAAAAAATGTGCGAAAAAAGACATTTTTCGTCATACTATTGCATAAAATATTTTAAAATAGATAATGTCCTATGAATTTGCATTTACTTTGGAATGACTTAAGAATATTATCTCAAGAGCTTACTTCGTTTCAATTTATTTTTAACGGATAAAAGTGTTTTAGCTAGAAAATGGGAGTTTTTATTTCAGTTACAGGTAACATTTGAAATAGCTCTGAGTATTTTGACAATTGTTTTTGATGACTACAAATTTTATCATTATTCTTTTGAAATAATGATACATTAAATCTAATAAGTTAATATTTTTACTTTTTTGATAGTCAATCAAGTTATACTTACCTATTTTTTCACTTACATGCACAGATTTGTTTAATAATTACAAATAACAATAACTATTTCAATACAAAACAAAATAGATATTAAATTTTTCATGAAATAAGCAATGAATATCAAAAGGAGTGGAAATAAGAACTGGTAACTGTAAACGGTAAACCGGGATAATATCGGTACAGTTACCAAGTTGAATTCATGGTAACCTTGCATGATGAATGTAGGACTTTAACAGGGTTGGTAATCTAGATTCCTTTTCTGTAGTTGCAAATTCTCAGGATATAAAGAATATAATACGACCACCAAATGGTAAGTTAGTTTTTCAGCATCCATCCTCGTTATAGACATAGCCACCAGGTGAAAAAAAGATAGTTATTCATTTTTAACAGCTTTAATCTGAAAAATGTATTGAAAAATAATTTTTTTTATTAATTTTTAAATAAAAATAGAATAAACTATAAAAATTCTAAATAATTTATGAGCATTTATACATACTTCTCTGCATATCAATAAAATTTTCTTGTAAGATATGCTTTAGTAACAATTGATAAAAGAAAACGATTATTGAAAGGTTACTTTATTGAGTTACAATATATTATATACAGTCTTATTCATGTAGTACAAATCTATTATTTATATCTTGAATAAATGATGTATGAAGTACTAGATTTTTATCCACGTGGAAGCTTAGAACTTTAAAATAATTTTCTACATTTGTTGAATACGATCCCCAGATTACACTTAATTTAAATGGTTATCGAAATTTATAGTTCATAGAGACTGACTAAAAACTCATAGACTGATACAAAAAGTTCAAAAAAATTATTGAACAAAAATGTATTAAAAAATTGACTAACAATAATATATTATTATACTATATCGTAGCAATAATCACAATTGCTTTAATTATAATCCGCAAATCGAACCAATTTCAAATTTTGATAAGAATAAATTTGTCCATTCTTATATTTTGCTTCCAGATTCAAAATGATCAAGATTCGGTGTATCAAAATTATAGTATAGAACAATTTATTGTATTAAAAATATTTTATAAAAGGAAGCTTATGATCATCAAACCCTCTTCCGGTCTGAATATAAAATTTACGGATGTATATATTCAAGTTTTTGCCGTAAATATTAGCAGTATACATGAACGTTACAGTACTCGTTTTGACAATAAACAAGTAACTAACATTTTTATGACCTTTATACACTTTTAAGCATTCATAATACCAGCACGTGCATTTATATTATGTGTATTTACCATAGTGCCGAAATAAAACTCTATTGAAATGATTGAAAAACCAATCACAGAAAATTATGTAATATTGTTGTCCGAGTCTAAAACTGTATGTACAATGTGTTGTGATGTGTTTTGTTTGTTAACAATATATATTCATACATATACAATATCATAACCTTTTGAACGTTCTTTCTTGCTGATATACATTATTCGTTTTATGAATGGAGGCAATCTTGAAAAATATTGATTATAATTTTATCAAATAAAGTTTAAAATTACACATTATGGAAATAATAATTCGATGTGAATCTTAACTTATTGCTACATTTTAAATGTCACTCTTACAAACGCTTTCAACATGAAAGTAAAATAATTTATCAATTCATAATATTTCAAGGGTTAGCCATGGTTGTCCGATTTGAAATAATCATTACCATTCGAGCGAAACGCGAAGAATCAAAAAAGCCGAGATAACGGGGACTGGAACAAAGCGCACGCGTGCAGAAATTATGTAACAACGATACAGATTTATTTATTCCACGTGACGAGACCCCTTGGGGAAAGGAGGGTGCAGGTCGAATCACCGAGCACGGTGGCATATACTACAATGTATGCGCATGTATGAAGCGCCTCTAGATCGACAATAGAATAGTTTTAGTTCCGCGCGAAGTAGCTTGAAAAGGACGGCTGCAGTGAGCTCTCTCTCTCCCATGTTATATGAGCTACTGCAAATGGTGAGTGTCTCATCCAAAGTTGTTGGCGCATTAGATTTATTCATCGTGAATAAGTCTGATTTAATAAAAACGGGCACATAATTGATTCACCCTTGCAAATTGATAATGTGTGGGGATTGAGTTTTATAAGCTGTGCATATCCGCGGTAAATCAGTTCAATTTTTTTTTAAATATTCAATATCATTTGAAATTAAAATTTTAATAAATTATTTACTTTCATCTTATTTTTTTAACATAATCATTACATTACTACCTTCATCAAGAATACCTTCTATGGACAAGTTATTCAAGTCTCTTTTTATTTTTTAAATTGAGACAGTATACTTTACACTTGCATTTTACGATATGATGATAATTATATTTGGAAGTTTTATTCGTGTCATACCTTTCATGTATGTATCTTTCTTGCGTATATTTTTTTTATAATTTTTAATCACATCATTTAAAAATATGCTTTTTTGTCTTGTATGATGTACTGTGTATTTTTGTAAATGATCCCAGCACTCGAAACTTTTTCTGAAACTTGCTCTTTCCCATTTTTTTATCTTTCTAGATAATTTGTGTATTTTACAAATGTGTGTATGAAATTTATATATTTGGTTTCGAATATGGGTCTGAATATCTCATTTTTATACAACCACACGCGGAGAATCCTATATACATTTGTATGATTTCCAAACCTCATATACCAGAAAAGAGTATAAGAGAAGCTTGAAAGCTGTTCTATCTATCTTCAACTTTTTATGCTTTAAAAATAAGTCTCTCTTTTTTATTTATTTTTCTTATATATTACGATAAAATTGGAAAAAAACATATTGAGTGCAATTTTTTGAAGCACTGTGGACTTTACGGAAATGCACAATTTATTACAATAACTAATACTTTACTGATGACTTTTGAAAAATGAGTTTTAAGTACAAATCTAATCATCTTTTACCACTGTTATATTGTTTAACTCAACTTTTCTTAAAATATATGTGATGTAAGCTGCTGATGCCATATAACTTTAATATTTATTGACTTTAATCTCTGATAAATAGAGTAGAATCATAATTTGAGCATCGAAATTTTCACATTTTAATTTTTTTGCGTCCCTTTTTAATCGCAATTCGTGCATCAGTGATATCACTTAGATTTTAGAAGCACCACGAATTACTCGACAGTTTTGAGTGAGATTTGAATCACTTAAAGCTGCGGTTCTATCTCTAACAATGTACATGAAAATTTTTGACTCATCAGAGATTTGAACCCCAGCTATCAATGTTAAGTTGCTCAAATATAAAAAAGCCCTGTTCACTAGACTAAGGAGGGTGATGGTCTCTCTGTTACTTCAACCTTTGGAAGCTGACATCATTCGTTGGAATTGATCGAGCGTGGAATCGGTAATAGGCAGCGTTGAAAATACTCCAAAAACATCGAAAATACAAATGAACAACACAAAACGGTACTTAAGCTTGGTACCGTAAGTAACATTGAGCTCACTCCAGAATCTTCCCAGTCTTCTTCGTCTTCGTCATCATCTCGTTGCTTTGGATCTGAAAAATTTCATCAAATTTAACAAAAATCTCAAATATAGTTGGCATAATGATCACTTGTCTTTTAAGAAACAAATGTTACAAGATGCTATTACGAGGGTTTTGTCAAATAAAACAAGAAAAAAAATTGATGCGATTAGACGCAAATAACAAAATGAAGCACCACATGAATTATGTATCATACATGAATGCGCACACCTACCTCGTTCCTTCAGCATATCCTGATTTCCCTCGAGAATGTTGTTACTAGAATTCTTTCTCTGTTTTCCTACAATTAAGATACATTTGGTTGACTTTCATTTTTACAGACAATTGCATAAGAAATGATTTATACATTCATTCATGTGTACATTGTTGCAACAGATTTGTTCACGTAAATTTTTTTAAGAAAAAACTAAATAACATATATTGTATTAACACAATTAAAATTTATAATTAACAGTTATCACTTATTTTTATTGAAAATATTTGTAAAAGTCTTTTGAATCCAAGCATTATGCATATGTGCTCGACAACACTCCAAAGCTGTAAAACTTTGAAGTATAAATGAAAAATTTTAGAAAAAAACCGGAAGCTTTGACTAGCAAACAGCGGGATGAGTCGGCTTGTTAATCCAAGCATAAGAAAATCTAAGACAGGCAGAGAATCGTTTTGATCTAAAGATGAAAAAGAACATGGCATTCGTTACTCAACTTAAAAGTTTTACAAAAGTTAACCCTTATATAGCTTGTACTGCAGCTACATAAATCTCTCGTTGAACCAGGCAGCGAGCCTTTTCTTGCCGCTCAGCGTATACAAGAATTTAGAGATGGTCCTTTCCTTGAGCAACTTGACATCTTGCATACTTCTCACTCTTCTCCTCTTTGGAGTTTTGCCTTTCGCTGAGAATACGAGACTAGATGTACTAAGGATAGCGTCAGGATGAAGTAAAGAAAAAAAACATGAAAGTTACTAAATATACCGTGAAGTCCTATTCTGTGCCCGAACTTTTTTCCTATATTTTTCGCTACGGAAAACAAAATGAAAGACACGCGGCCACAATAATTTTAAACAATATCAATAATTATTTAAATGGTGTGTTCTGTAAAGTTTCATATTACCGTTGATCCGTTAAAAAAAATAGATAAGCGTTAATTTTCATGTTGGAGTACAAATCTCGGAGGAATATTCGTCGAACAGCGAGGGCAAAGCGGGTGAACAAAACATCCTGAGCGTCGAAAAATTTGACGGTGAAATAGTAAAGCACTAGCAGCAGCGTACATAACATTACGCATGTCAGGCACGAACGTGACAAAATCTTCAGTCCAAGCTCCGAGAAAACCAGTTCGAGGCTGTGGGAAAATAATACATTTTGTAAATTTCCGAGCTCACAGAGAGAGACTATACCACGCGCGACAAGCTCGTGTTCGCAAGACAAGTAGATTATGCGTAGAAGGTTACCTATGCACGTGCCCCCCGCGTACATTTTCTAAACTTTACACAAATAATGGTGGAGCCGAGATGAAAAATATAGGGCACATTTGCACGGAGAGTTATATGAGAGGAGCAATGGAAAAGCTACAGTGGAGATGCAATACTTGACGAAAAGCGCAACCAAGGCCCCGCCGACTGAACTAGCGAGCAAGATTGAATGGGCATAAACAGACAGAGAGCAAGTGAGAGAGACCAAGCGGAGCACATTACTGACAGAAAGGATAAAACAGATATAAAGATACATAAACGTATGCAGATATTTCGGTCATGACCTCAAAACCCGTGTAGGCAACTGACATGAACGCACTATGTGAAAAGGTTCATCGAGTGGAGAGCACTGGCATACATCGCTGAATTGAGTAAAGCGAAAAAAATCCCAGGTAAAAAAAATATCGCAATGAAAGTCTTTAAAAATGTATACTCAAGCACCGTGGCGCAAACGGACGAGTATTAAACCAGACAGACGGCCAGTTAAAGGTTTTTTACCAGCTGAAAATTATAATAATGACGAGTCTTCTGCATAATTTATTAATGTTGTCTGCTAAGACCTGAGCCGTTCATTATTTGGGAAACTAAACAGTTTCAAAAAATTGTAAAAAATAAATAAAAATTAAAAACAAAATTTTATTTTAACTAATCGTCTTAACTAATCTAAGCCAAAGCTTAGAAATTTCGTAAATATCAATGATAAATTTCCAAGCCGATGAGTGAAATGGATTTAAAATTTGATCTCAGTGCCAACACGCAATGGAATATTGTAACACTTAGTCAGTATTCATTTGAGAGATATAATTGTATACATCGATGCACGAAAGGAAGTTCATCGGTACAAATTGACGACTAATCAACGCACGTTCGGTTTGTCGTCGCAGAATTGCATGATGCAAAATCAGGAGCATCGTAAGAAAACGAGAAGTGTACTGTATGTCGAACGCATGCATGCGAAAGCGGACGGAATACTTCATTCGATTTCTGCAGACATTTCAATTTACTTTTAGTAATCGCTCGTATCTTCTATCAGACTGTTAGAAGACAATTTTCATAAAACACAAAAAGTACATAAATACGATCAAATTTGTGAAAATGTTGCAATTTTATAAAGAATCTTCAAGTACAAAGCCTGTGAGTGAGAAATGATAGGTATGCATCAAGAGAAAAGATGAGAGAGAGAGAGAGAGAGAGAGAGAGAGAGAGAGAGAGAAATTAGATACAAACCAGGAGTGTAAGATAGTTTCACGAAAGCAAGTTTGATATTTTTCTCTTTCCATCGTACAGGTGCAAACTGACGGCTTTATTTCATCGATTTTCACCGCGAAAGAGTAGGAGAGAGGTCTGGAGAGTACGCGTGAGAGATGGAGAGATGTATTATGCTGTATTTGCGAACGTGAAACCTGAGCGTGATGGTGCACATCTGCCGACGCTCGTCATTAAAACTTTTCTCTAACTCTCGATAATGCACGCGGGTGCGCGATCCTATATATTTTTGCATCATTTTCATTCTTAGTTGCTTTTCCCAACCCTAACACAGCTTGCAGTCGCATCTGACTGCATATGTACAAATTTATCAGTAAAAATAACTTATTTACAAACAGGAGAGAAATCAAAAGCAATTATGGTCTAATTAATCAAGAGCAACCCTGCTCTTTGTTTGCTCTACTTTAATAATTTAATTTTCTTATGTGTAACAGTAACAAAAAAAAACGCTCTTAAGTAAACACATTTTATAAGATCAGTTAATTTCAAAACGTAAACAAATCATGATGCAACATTTTTGAAAAGTTCAATAAATATTTTTGAATAAATAAAATTTACTTTACCTTTATTTCTCGCTACGTTGTCAGTTGTATGATATCCTGAGCTTGGAGGTATACCTAAAAATAAAACGAAATTTATGAAATCAAACTCATCACAGTTATTGCCTATAGTGGCTATAGTAGTAGTGTATTTTTATTGAAAGGTTTCGATGATTCCAAATAGCTGCAAAAAACTATAGTGACAAATAGCGAGAAAATGAAAGGCCTCTAAGAAGATGTTATAAATCATTCGATTGCTCTTGCATTACGTATTCAGTGTATATGCTTCTTCTCCACTCGAGTCCAAACAGGTAAAAGGGTTGATTTGTATCCATGCCTGCTCTCTGTATAACTCAGGTCGATTGGGCCAAACCAAGTTGTGACAAAATTTATCGTCTTTAGAAGCAAGTATATAACGCAGTATTTAATAGGGACACAATGAATTTCAAGTCAAGTTTGTCTCGTGTCGCAAGTAAATACAATTTCCACGTACTCACAGCGATATACCATTCTCGGGCTGTTTCAGAAAGCAAAACACTTTCAATCCAATCTTAATTGTAAATTAATTGTAAATACAAGAGCACTCGAGTAGAAATTACGAGAACCAATGTTTCGGAGGTTTCTGGAAAAAAAACATCGGAGAATTATTTGCGTTTACTTACGGTATAATTTTATGCTGCCATCCGTGTCTCCGAGAGAGTTTCTGGAGACACACTTGTACGTTCCGAAGTCAGAAGGGCCGACCGATTTTATCGTGAGCTTCATGTGAACTTTATAAGCGGTGTCTGTCACCGTAGGTTCATACTTGTCACCTGAACAGAAAAAAAGCGTTTCAATAATTTCGTATTTCAATGGGTCGAATATGACTGTCAAGAAGTGCAGCTTCTTTATTTTTATCATGAAGAAAGCCTATCCTATTTATATGCCAAGTAAGACGATGAATATCGAGTTTTACTGTAAAAATAGCTATGCTTTTATGCTTATTTTAAAAATAATAGAAAAAAAATTTTACGAATATCTGCAAATGGGAGAGCGAATATTTTTGAGAAAGCTCTTTACAAAATAAAAATTTCACAATGGCCCAATCACATTGATTCGTATTCGATGGGCGTCGGAGTGACGTGATTTCCTGCAAGAGCTGTAATATCCTAGAGGATGAAATATGATTTTTTTGATAACCTTATGAAAGAAAATGTCTCCACATTGTAACATCTTGGAATTACTGCCCAAGACGATGGAGCGCATCAATTTTCGATGAAAAAATTGAGAGAGTTTATCTGAACTATTATGTTTTCTGACTACTTTTCATCGTATTTTTTCTTTCTTCTTGTTTTAGATATTAGTTTCAAGTAGTCTGTATTTTAAGTGTCTTTAAATCTTATTTTGATTGCAGACTCGATAATAATCAAGTACTGCCTTGGTATACTTCGAATTTCGGTTCAAATTAATCTACATAATGCAAAAACATAGCGATTTTGTGTATAAATAATACATACTAAACCGTAGTGTATGGTAAGAGCTTTTGATAGCTTATACATAAACTTACACCATAATCGATTAAGTTAATGTGCTTTAATGCACAAGTACATAAATATATTAATAGCCTAAATGTTATGCAACGAGGATGCATAAAATTAAAATAAATTGATAATATGATTTACCTTGTGGTACAATTTCATCCTTATCACGTGTCCAGTAATTGATGGATTTCGGATAGGCCTCCGATGTACACTCGAGCGTGACTTGCTGACCTTCTCGTGCACCGATCAGTTGATTCGGTATCCAAATCATTGGGGGAACTGAAATTCATTCATTCATTATATTAATTAAGCTGGCAAATGACGATTTCCATTTATGTTATTTTAGAGTGTGATAATCTTAATCAAGCTATTATTTTTTACAATAAAAATAATAAAGATCTACTTACATTGAACAACTAGTATAATCCTTTTACTGACTGTTGGTGGTACGCCATTCGATGCTATGCATAAGTACGGACCCATGTGCTGTCGGTTAACCTTGGTGAGGTTGAAATGAGACCCCTCAACATTTTGTACTAGAAATAATTTTTTCTTGAATCATATAAATCGCAAAAATAGTCATTTGTTTGGTCTGGTAAGGTCTAAATAAATTTTCTTTCTTCACGATTCAAATAAAATTCATGTCATTTACTGCCAAATTAAAAGATTCAATAAATTAATTCAAAGACTTCCAATAATTTCAATAAAAATAAAAAATCAAAATAAAAAAATACCTTTAAAATGTCAAACTCAAAACAAAGAATTTTAATAGTGATGTTTTGAAGGACATTCTTCATGCGAGAAATACGTCTCATACGACAATTCCTTTGAAACAATAACACACATTGACAAAGCAGAAAAGTGGATATTTTGTACAAATGTGTATTTCTTCATGAAACGATGGGTAAAGTTGATGAACAAAGGGTGGAGAAGATGAGCATTTAATTTGTTCATACGCACATACACATTTTGTCACTATTATTGAGAAATTTAGGTTGTGCATATTTCCTGCTTTGGTTTGTATAAGCAAATACTTATACCACAATTGAGTAACTTTCAGCCGAAAATGTTCGCTTACTTTTGATAAACTGCTCTTGGGAACACAATCACCAAAACGGACTACTGTAGATCTTGGGGTTTTAATTAAGACGAGAAACGATGTGGTATTACTTATTCTCGTATAGTTATAGGCAATCGGTTTTAGTAATTTGTAACAATTTTGAATATAAAATGACTATTCAACAAATTAGACCCAGCTAGTAGAATTACAAGAAATTTAACCAAAAATATTCTTGCAATGAGTTTTTCATTGTACTCTATAAAAGCTAAAGTTTACAGCACGTAGCCCACAGGCTGAACTTTAAATTATATTTTCGGTAGTTCATAACGACTTTTTGTCTATAGTATTGTATGTGTAGATCTAAGGTAAGACGGAACTTTGAATAGCGGCTTTTACCACTCAAGAACTTCCATTTAATTTGAGTGAAAGTAGTGATACAATCGTTTAGTTATATTAATGAAAATAGTCACGGGACTCTGAAAAAAACATAATAATGCTATTCTATTGCGTGAAATCAGCAATGTTGAAGAAAGTTAGACAATCGTAGTTGTTTTAATAGTACTAAAGGGAAATACATCACTGATTTTTTTTAGATGTAACCAAAAATCTTTTGTATAAAAAAGTATAGAGCAGTTTTGCGTACATATAATTTATGCCTTTCTAGGCTTTTAATTGGATGTTGCTATCAATTCTAAAATCGGTTGCGATATGAGTAGATTATTGGGATTTTAATTTTATCATAATTTCAAGCACCAGTAACATTTGCTTACTGTTAGCAAAAAATTACAATTTCTATAAAGTATTTGTAAAGTTAACATTATGTCACAATGACAATAAAAAAGTAAAAAAATATTAAAGGAAATACGAGTAAAATACACAAAAGGATTGTAAGGTTTTCCACAGCTAGAAGATTAGCAGACATGTAAACCGCTAATGAAGCACTTTGGAGAGCGAAATTCTGGACTGACCAGGGTGCACCGCATCAGGCTCACACATATGTGTATATGGGAGAAGAGACGCGAGAGTGTGTGAGGCGCTGAAATCGTGAGAGCGAGAGAATCCACGAAATCTCGAATCCCTTATTGCATCAAAGCTTTTGAGTAAAATGCATCGCAGTTTTCTCCTTGTTACTTGTTAAACCTTTGCTTTACTTATTATTATAAGTGTACAAGTGAAATGGTGAAATAATAAGGGGCACTACATACTGAAATTTATTTTCAAGCTGCTTTGAATAATTTTGAGAATAAAAGTTGTAAAATAACACTCACGCAAAAAAGTACATAAAAAGTAAATATTCGTTTTTGAAAAATTTAAACCTGCTAAAATCAACGAAGATATGACTCATATAAATTTCTCTTTAAGAGCTTTCACGCTTTAATAATCTAGAGTATAAAAAAGCCACGTTAAATTTACCGTTATTCATCATTTTTTTACCGAGGTTCCGAAGACTGCTTTTGCATAATCGCTTACCTTCTCTTGTGGGACTAAGGGAAATCGGCCTTCCGTCTTCTCTGCGCCACTGTATATTAGGAGCTGGCGAGCCTGTGGCTGCACAGCGTAAAGTAACATTAGTACCTTCTCTGACGACCATATCCGTACTCGTTTGGTAGTCAATTATGTCGGGTGGAACTGAAACAATACGTGAGATTGATTTTTTCTTTTGAGTTTCAATTCCAAGAGAATATTAATTTTGATCGTATTGACACATTTAATGATTATTAATTATTAATTATTTTTCATAAAGTAATATATTAATTCTCACCCTTTTTTACTAACAAATATATTTTCCGTGTGGAATTGAGTAATAAGACAAAAACGTTTCGTAATATATACGTGGCCATGAAAAAACAATGATTCTTTTTATCGATTAGAGTTTGGTCAGCTATTGGTTCAGTAAACTTGGCAATTAGAAGTTTCAATGCTTTTTTTTCAATTGCTCTTTTCTTGATCGCCCATTGAGATTTACGGAGCATCAAATTGCATTCCTCTTTGGATGAAAACAGAGCGGATTTGTATAGATTTTGCGGAAAATGGCTAGCCAATTTTCGTTTCTGATTTTTTCTTTTCTTTTTTTTTTTTTCATCGGTTGAATTCTCGACCAAAGGCCTGCAACGTAAGGGTACCCGTATACAGGAGTCTATAGCTAGCAAACATATATTTGCGCTCAATGTATAGCTATTTTTCGATAAGGTATTGTCTCTATCGCATGAAGCAAAAAAATACTGGCAGCTGTCACCACAGTATATAAAATCTTATAATATTTTTTGACTTGCTCATGGTAAACACCAAAACCATTTCTCTTTGTATGATAGCGTTCAAAAAGTCGAAGGAATAAAGACAAACATGCCGCACAAAAGTTTTTTTATCAATCTGTGTACGCAGTATATTCATACTGTGCCGTAGAAAGAATTTTGAATCCAAATGAAATTTAAATCAGAAAGTTTTCGATATTATAAGGATTTTTTTATTGAGTTACATGCATAACTTTTATCTATTATAATTGATGAAAAATAATAGCTACGTAGAGACTTATAGGTGTAATAAAAATGAGCTGATGAATGCAATTGAAGCTTTCATTTTTGAAAGTTCAATTTTTCAACTACTATTAAAAATCAGAGCTTGATTACTGCTTGTTAGAAATTTTTGTGATTGTCAACGAAAAATTAAAAAATTTGCTGAACATAATGAAAGTGTAGGAGACTAATTAGCCTGCAATTGTAATTCAAATCGGATTTGTCAATTATGGAAATTATATAACTTTGATGTTTTGTGTTTTTTTTATATTTATTATTTGGAATTAATACCTACTAAAAGAACATGATATTTACATTCGATCAAAAATACTTTCAGGTTTATAATGAGAATAATAGTGAGTAAGGGATAGATTATTAATGGTAAATGCGTCACTCTAACATTTTCTAGATTATTGTGTCCTGTCCAAGTGTCACGAGTCTATTCTGTCTTCGGTTCTAATAGTATTTTTCTATTTTTTCGTTTACTTAGAATTTTCTAGACTTTTTCTTATTTTCACGTCCTCTTGTTGATTCTGGTTTGACCACTTTTACTTTTATGAACACGGATATTACGTTTCATTTTTTGATTTATTATTATGTTTTGACCATTGGATTTTTCATACTTTTATCTCTAGTTATTTAATATGTAATACATAGGTTACGTACCCAAAACACACGCACAAATTTATTATTTAATGAACTGATTAATAGGCCTATTCAAGTGTAAAAAACTTCTTTTTCTATTCATCGCAATTATTTTACTTTTTTACAAGTTATGAAAAATTTTGAAATTACTTAGTGTTAATGAAATTTCTTGCTAGATCGCAATAAAAAAGTCACCTACTTAAACAAAAAATGCTTAAAACCCTAATGAAACATCTGCTCAATAACGACCCTTATTACTGAGGCAGTATGTTCTTAAATGAATCTTTTCTCTCCCGTGAGTAATATTTTATTTTATATGGATATTAAGCGTCTGCATTGAGCCTCGAGGCATATGGATACATTCATTATAAAAAAAGGACACGAGGAGCAAATATTTTTTTCGAGTGCCTAAGGCACTCCTTACTGACAGAACTCTATATGTTTGCGGTTGACGGACGGCCCCCCCCCCCCCCCCCNACGACCCCCCCCCCCCCCGATGGGCGTTCAAATATACTTTATATAAACAACTACAAAATTTTACTTCCGACGTTGTGCATTTCCTATTAAATTTAATATCGCTGTTAGAGGAACTATTTTGTGTAATCTTCTCTACTATGTGCATTCAGATTTACTCCTAATGTTAATTATCGTACCCATAGAAATATTTTCACGGCACTTTTTCGAGTGTCCCTAACGGCATTCCTAAGTCTTTGATATAAATGAATGTGTTTGATAAAATGGCTACAATCATTTCTTTCTTTATAAAATGATTTTAAAACTTTAATTTTGAGAATTATAATTTTAGACACTCTATTAAATAGTCTAGATGTACGTATACTTTGGATAAACAAAAGTCATACTCGGCCACGATCGATATGGTGAAGCATTTGACTGAAGCTCACTGACTAGTTCGATTTTACACTCGAGCGCTTTTTCATTGTCTTGTTCTCGTTTTTTTTCTAAACAACTGTACCTGTTCTTTTGGCTTTTCTTTTCGCTGTCTACTTTCTGCGATTGTATTATTGGCTCTAACCAAGCAGTAGCAGCAGCAGTAGCAGCAACGGCAGTAGCGAAACTGTTTACCTTTCTGCTATATACCTTGTACTCCCGCTCCGAAGGTTTGACCCCATCAATCTGCGTGGGAAGGTCCGAGACTAGGCGATCGGCCGATTGCGCAAACTTCAAGCCACCGCTAGCTAACATCGACCGAATCGGATCAAACGAGCTTTTTTGAACGCGGTATATACGCGTTGTCGTTTTTCTTTTGCAGCCTCTCCGAGTACTCACATTCTCTCGTTCTCTCCTTTTTTCACTCTCTGTACGATTGTTTCGACAAACTTCCGACCCATGCGGTTTTCGCTTCTTCGTTTTTCCGATTCAGATTAATTCGTTTTTGCGCCACCGCTCGACTCCCAAACCGCTCCTCATCTGCTCGCATGCACATTCTCGATGCCTTTTTACTTTTAATGCGCTTTAATTTAGGGTGTTTCTAGTACTATAAAAAAGTAGCTTCCAAAGAAAGAGATAGCAAACAATTCTCCCCCTTACCACAGGCGCGCGCGCGAGCTCGCTCGCACTGGGCAGACCGTACTTAAACTGAGTATACGTATAACAGGCGTGGAAAATGATGGGGAATAAATTAAGCTTTATTGTGTGCAGACCAGAGAGAACACGTTTCGACTGTGAAGCCACATTCATCACTCGTATTATGCAAACGTTGGGATCACAATTTATTCTTCGTATCATAAATGGAGTGCTTTGCTGAACGAGTTGCAATAACTCGAAAGGGTATTCCGTCATAAAAATATTCACTCTTATTAACGAAATCCTACTAATTTTATTTCTTCCATAAAATTGATGTACTTTTATACATAATTTAAATATATTAACTCTCAATTGTGTGAATACATCGTCAAAGAAATAAAAAAAATTTGTATAAATCGTTCAAAAAAAGCTGAATCATAAAACATTATTCGTTGTTAATGCCTCGTACACAATTTTATACAAATATTACAGTAACAAAATTTTTCATTTAAAATCTTTCACTGTAGCATGTCAACGCTTTTTAAGATATACGACTAGGATTTCAAAAGCGAAACGTCCCGTGTAAATATTTATATGCTCATGCACATGTGTATTTTTACATGTGTGACGTCGGACAGCGGCCTTTTGATTGAGTACATTTTCAGCGGATTTCGTAATTAGCAGGTCTGGATGAACAACCGAATGATTAATGGACGAACCGATCGTTTTTGCTGTTATTCGTGTACTAGTACAGAAAGGGAGCGAGGAGAGAGAGAAGCAGAGTATACCTTTTATAGCATAGGCCAGTAGCTCATCAACCGCAACGTAGTTCATTTGAATTGTTGATCTCAAAGTCACGTTCACAAGCAGGCATACGCATAATGGCGAAATTCATTTTACTAGAATGGGTATTTTTTCCTGTCAACAGGCTTATCGCGAATAACGCCGGCCAAAGGGCGACGAGCCAATATATTTACCCTCAATGTTTTACGACGTATCTAGTGAAAATCATTCCAAATTTCGAAAATAAATATTAAAATCTATTCCAAGCAGCAACTACTACTACAAACAGCGAATGCGTGAATGCCGTATTGATGATTTAACGCGTAACGGATAAAAAATAAAAAGAGTGCGGTACGGCGATATTACGAGTCGGGCGCAAAGACTTGATTATTAAAAAAAAATCAAGTAACGATAAGAAACTGAGAAAGTACTAAGTTACAATAAGATTTATTTTCAAGCTTCAGATATTTCATTACCAGTTCGACTATCGAACACAAAAGCTCAAGATGGAATGAAAGTCTCGCGGGCGGGAATGTATGCTACTGTATGCTACTATAGCAACCATAGCGCGGACGGACGGGTGGTAACAAAAGCGAATAAAAGAAATGCTCGCCATACCCACCACCGCCGCCGCTGCCACCGCATATATACATTGAGAGGAGAGAGGCAGCAGCAGTAGCGAAGCAGCATGAAAATAAAAGTGAGAACGAAACAAAGCCGCAAGAGGGATGATGAGAGAGGACAAGGATGGCTGCACGCGGTCGTCCACTGGAAAACTAGATCGACAAAGCCTGCCAATCCTCCAGGGATGGCTCAGGCGGGTATAGGCTAAAACGTAAGCTGTTTTGATGAAAGAAAAAGAAATCTCGACGATGCAAGTTGAAATTGGACGCCTAGTTCGAGCTCGCTTTTCCCCCGATCGAAAAAGAGGGATTCCGCAGTATCCATCGTTCAAATTCACAAAAAATAACAATACCCCCGGCACATTAGCCTGCTGCATGGACTTATTAAAATAATCAATCTTGTGTGCGCAGACTTGCGTAACTCATCCGTGTCAACTAAGATTTCGAGCTGCGTCCAGCGTGCAGCGCGAGACGACCAACCACAAAATATTATAATGAAAAAAAATTATATCATCGTGGCTCGCTGCTCTGCATCATAATT